CCATCCAGCCTCTGCTTAAAAGCTTCCAAAGAAGGAGCCTCCACCACACTCCGGGGCAGAGAGTTCCACTGCTGAACGGCTCTCACAGTCAGGAAGTTCTTCCTAATGTTCAGATGGAATCTCCTCTCTTGTAGTTTGAAGCCATTGTTCATTGTTGTGATTTATGATGAGCATCATAAATCACAACATGCAGTTTCATGCAGAAGAGTTCAACCTCATTATAAATGCACAGGTTCTCTCAAGTTGTACAGACTGAGCTAATTGGTTTGCAAAGAGCTACAAAAAACTGCAATGCAAAAACAGATTAAAAGCAAACTAAGCTTTCGTACTAGGTTAACAAGCATTTCACTATATATTTTATATAGTGAAATGCTATATAAAATATAGCCTCCCTCCCTTCTTATATATTTCTTTCCTCAAACAATGATTCCTACTGTTGTAGGAAACTATATTCTTCCTCCAAACCAAGGCTGTAAATCAGTCTGAACTGATTTCACAAGCCTGATTTTCAGTCAAACTATGGTTTATGCAAACCACAGTCTGCCCGCTCAAATATCCAAGCAAACTGTGGTTGGCTGATAAATGACAAGTAAGAAATTGATGTGTGAATAATCAATTTCTTGCCACCAATATTTATCCTTGTGTGGGAACCTGTGCCCACTCAAACCTCCTAGCGTCAGCACAAAAGCAAAATGAACAGGAAAACTACCATAATTCTTGGGAACGTTAAGTACAGTATACTCCTTCCCTGTTTTCTGCATGGAAGTAGAACCCACATAATAAATATAGTTCACAGCTGAACTACTCTGTTAAATTACTGCAATGTGATATACTGCCTAGTAGCTGAGCTGTCATACCGCAGCACCATCTAGTGTTCAGTATCTCATATTACACAACCCAAGCAATTCCACAACTACCAACTGTCAGCCCTCCATATGTAGGTGTTCTGCACCCAACACCCATAGCTTGAAAATATTTTTGAAAACTCCAAAAAACAAGCCTTGATTTTACCATTTTATATAAGGGACACCATTTTACTATGCTGAGGTTGAACATCCACCGATTTTATTATCTACAGGGGTCCTGGAACCAAACCCCAACAGATACCATGGCCAACTGCAACATATATATTTGCAGTCTCTGGCACATAGTGTTATGAATAACTTTCCCACACTGGAAAAGAATATCTCACTCTGACACCAATTTGTCATGAATAACTTTTCAATAACTTTAAAGCATAGGTTCTTTTTATTGCAATTTCCAGTGTGAGAGAGTATATCTATATAAATAAAAATGTAATGTTCGTTTGTGGGATTAACGTAACTCAGACAAATTGACATGAAATTTTGGCACAATACACCTAACAGTCCAACAAGTGTTCATCACACCTAAAAATACAAAAAAACCCAGCAGAACGGACTTAAAACCCCCCAAAATACATCATATATATACACACACACACACACACACTCATATACACATGCACACATACATTCACATACATATATATATATACCCAAGCACACACAAATATACACACACATCTACATACACACACATATATACATATACACATGTGCACACAAATATACACAAACACAAATATGCATACAGACAAGCACATACATATACACAATATACATATGCACAAATAAACACATAAATATATACACATATATACACATCTACACACACATATATACACCCACACACACACACACATATATATATAGAGAGAGAGATACACAAATATATACACACATATAAACACATATATATACACACATATAAACACATATATATATACACACACAAAACATATATAAAGACTAGGCCACAGCAACGTGTGGCAGGGGACGGCTAGTCAGATTATAGAAAAACATTTAGACATAGAATGACATTGGGCATACAGACATACAGATTCTATGCAACTACATTGGATTTACAATTGCACTGGTTAACAAAGGAGAATTACATTTTCAATCACCATTCACACCACATGGACACGCATTCATCCTCAGGCACCCAAATATTATTATATCGTTTTCTCCCTCCTTGGAGAAGCACCTGTTAGGCCAGACCATACTTTCACACAACTTGCCAATGCACAGTTCCAAACCTTCCATAACTTCAAAACTCCAAAATGCATCCTTTCCCTAAGCACAATGCCAAGGACCAGATCTCTATTTTCCATACAGAAGAACCTGACTCCCTGCACAAAATCTAAGATTCCAAAAGTGCATGTCTTCCTCTTCCCATGAGAAAGAAGCCCCAAAGTGTATAGAATCATGCTTTCCCATAGCATATCTGACACTCTTCGAATACACCATCTCTATCCTTTTCATAAAGCAGAGCATGGCAGGTGAACCAGACTCCTCAGATCTGCCACAATTTGAGCATTATTAGATTGTGTCTTTTATAGGAATGTTCTGTTGATGTAGTCCCAAAGTTGTAAATTAATGATAGATGTTTTCCATCCTGGCTCCATCTCAGTTTCCTGACCATATATTGACTCTTCTTGATTGGTGTAGTCTTGTGTTGACTTCCTTCTTAACATTGTAAACATTTCTGTTATCACTGTCCCAGTTTTTATCAGAGTTTACTTTTCAGTGCTTATTAGCAACTTTTAATTACAGTCCAGCAAACAGGTAGTTAGTCATTGCAGGCCTTCATATTTTACTGTTGTTTCCAAAATTATTAGCTCCATCCATACATCCTTCCATTCTTCCATTCATTCCCACACATCATTATTAAAGTCACATTTATCAAATCTTAACATTAAATTTTTGTGACACATCTCTCTTCTTCCAGGAAACCACTGTCAACTAGAAAGCTTAAGAGTGCTTTCACTGAAAGCAGATATCAAATACACAACAAATGGAAATTCAGGAATAGCTGAAATAATAACCCAGGACTTCATTCATGGCCTTCTTCTGAAGGGAAGGATTCTGAGGATTATGAAGTTGTATTTGTGTGAGACATAGGTATCACCTCCTGGGTGATCTACAGGTGATATTTCTTCTACAGTAAAGGTAAAGGTTTCCCCTTGACATTAAGTCTAGTTGTGTCTGACTCTGGGGGCTGGTGCACATCTCTATTTCTAAGGCGAAGAGCCAGCGTTGTCTGTAGATACCTCCAAGGTCATGTGGCCAGCATGACTGCATGGAGCGTCGTTACCTTCCCGCACAAGTGGTACCTATTGATCTACTCACACTTGTATGCTTTCGAACTGCTTGGTTGGCAGAATCTGGGTCTAACAGCGAGAACTCACCCTGCTCCCTGGATTCAGTCAGGAAGTTCAGCAGCTAAGTGGTTTAAGCCACAGTGTCACCAGGGGGCCCTTATTTCTTCTATATATAATGTTATTAGCATCTGAGCATACAATTAAAACCTTGCTTAATTAATTGCTTCAGCTGATCACAGCTATAGAACAAAGCTCCTTAATGATATGGAGCAAGAAATGACTGCTGCTGCATGGGTCTGTCTCTGCAAAGATCCATTTGAAGCAGGTGTATTCCAGAATTGTATAAACAGACTGTACTTCACTTTGGAACAAGCAGAAGGAGCTTACTACAAAAATGATAGAAACAAGGGAAATGGTTGCTGTAACCAACAGAGTGGAGTAGAGCAGGGGGACATGGCTAGGTCTTAATGCCATAATGCTGTTGAGATTCAACTCCACACAGCCCAAGGCACAAGTCCTCTTGAAACGTTAGAAGAGATGGGTGTTAGAGTAGCTCAGGCCCAGTTATTTACTCTTAAGAAATGCAGTTATTTCTTATTGGTGTAAATAAACCTTTTATGATTTTTAAGATTGGACTCTGCATCTTTGCCTGCCTAAGCTCTGAATTCTTTACAGCCACAACCAACAGCACTTTATCCTCTGCTCGCTAATGAGCTGAATGCTCAACTTTTAGTATCCTGTTTATGTTTTTGGATGCTCTGCTATATTCAGAGGTAGTTTTCCCTAATGAATGCCACCTAAATAACAAAACAAAAGAGAGAGAGAAAAAGGCCATTTATTATGCCACTGCCTTTATCTTGTTCCTACCTGCTGAAAGGTAAAACTAGAATATTATTTGCTATACACTGGTTACATCCCAAATAGATTACTGCAACGCACTCTACATGGGATTGCCTTTGAAGACTGTTCGGAAACTTCAACTAGTCCAACAGGCAGCAGCCAGATTGCTCACCAGAGCACCATATAGGGAGCACACCTCCCCCCCTGCTATGTCAACTCCACTGGCTGCCAGTCCATTTCCGAGCACAATTCAAAGTGCTGGTCTTGGCCTATAAAGCCCTATATGGCTCTGGCCCAGCTTACTTGTCCGAACCTATCTCCCTCTACATTCCGCCTTGTAGTTTAAGATCCACCAGGGAAGCCCTGCTCTTGGTCCCACTGGCCTCACAAACGAATCTGGTGGGGACGAGGGACAGAGCCTTCTTGGTGGTGACACCCCGCTTGTGGAATTAGCTCCCCAGCAAGATTAGAGCAGCATCCTGCCTCCTTTCCTTTAGGAGAAAAACTGAAATCATGGTTTTGGAACCAGGCTTTTGGCTAGCAGGAACAACTGCAGTTTGGACACTGAACTGGACCATATGATTGTTATAATAATGGAAATGGCTATATGACCGTATAAGTAATATTATTGTTTTAAATCTACTTGGTATTTATGGTTTTATGTTGTTATTATTATATTGCGGCATCGAATTGTTGCCAGTGTTAGCTGCTCTGAGTCCCCCCTCGGGGGTTGAGAAGGGCGGGGTAGAAATGCTGTAAATAAATAAATAATATAGCAAGTAAGATTTGATTGAGCAAAGAACACAATAGCTACATACTAGTTCTGAGATTGAAAAGACAGAGGTGCCATCTGTAGACAAAAATTTAGAAAGTCCAGCTTTAAAGACAAACACCTGGCAGCCTAGACATGTGTTGAACACCTTTAAATCACCATCGCTTTAGCTGAGTATCTTTACATATCCACTGAACACCTTACCTGTTTGTTGGGGTGTTAAAGCTAAAAGAAAGCAGCTGATTCCAGAATGGGTCATTCTCTGAGATTGCCTCTCGTCCTGATAATTTTTTCAAGTATTCATTTTCTGGAAGCTCATTAATGCTGCTGCTTGATGCTCCCATCTCGTTATTATCTGGTCTGTTCCTTTTTAAGGTTTCATGTCAACGAAGAAAGGTCTACAAAACAAATGGGAGCGGGGAGTTAAACAGCTTCACATTTTGCACCAAAATATACCCGAAATGATACCAAAGAGGACAGACAGATTCATTTCATGCTTCAAGCCACCTGAAAAAAAGCAAAACTAGGGTATTGAACCTGAGATCTAAGAGGACTGGATTTAACGGGGGATGTGGAGTCAGAGTCAGAAGAAATTTTGGACAGAGCTAGTTGAAATGTACACATCCCAACATCAACATAAACTTTTACAATAATATAGGTACATATATAATTTTATAGGTAAAGTTAAAGGTTTCCTCTAACATTAAGTCTAGTTATGTCCAATCTGGGTGGTGATGCTCATCTCCCTTTCTAACCCGAAGAGCTGGTGTTGTCTGCAGATGTCTCCAAGGTCATGTGGCCAGCATGACTGCATGTTGCGCTGTTACCTTCCCACAGAATGGTACCTATTGATCTACTCACATTTGCATGTTTTCAAACTGCTAGGTTGGCAGGAGCTGGGCTAACAGCGGGAGCTCAGCCCGCTCCCTGGATTTGAACCGCCAACCTTTCGGTTAGCAAATTCAGCGGTTTAACCCACTGTACCACCTATCATTTTATACTTAATCACATATACATAATATTCTATAAGTCTAAGTAGCATGATGATTCATATGGCATTGATGAAATTCCTTGTGCTATAATTTCACTACAGTAAAATTATTACTTTACTTGGTCAAAGCAATGGTATTCCCTATAGTCACCTACGGATGTGAGAGCTGGACCTTAGGGAAGGCTGAGCGAAGGAAGACAGATGCTTTTGAACTGTGGTGCTGGAGGAAAGTTCTGAGAGTGCCTTGGACTGCGAGAAGATCCAACCCGTCCATCCTCCAGGAAAGAATGCCTGACTGCTCATTGGAGGGAAGGATAGTAGAGGCCAAGATGAAGTACTTTGGCCACATTATGAGAAGAAAGGAAAGCTTAGAGAAAACAATTATGCTGGGGAAAACGGAAGGAAAAAGGAAGAGGGGCTGACCAAGGGCAAGATGGATGGTTGGCATCCTTGAAGTGACTGGATTGACATTGAAGGAGCTGGGGTGGTGACGGCCGACAGGGAGCTCTGGAGTGGGCTGGTCCATGAGGTCACGAAGAGTCGGAAATAACTGAATGAATGAATAACAACAACAACAACAACAAAGTTATTACTACTTAATATAAATTCACCATTTATGGAGGGATCAGAGTCAGGCAGAAGACAAATTAATAGAGTTGGAGTCAAGATTGAATGTTTAGTGGGCGAACTCCACAGTCCTGGCCCTTTAACAAAGGCAAAGGGCCTATAATGAGTTCTGTCACATACCACACTTTTGAGTAGAACCATAAATATATTTAAATCAACAAGGTGATCAAAAAACATGCATGAGAATAAAGTGTGGGGGGGTGCATTGTAGGTGATTTTCCTGCTTCTTGGCAGAGGGTTGGACTGGATGGCCCACGAGGTCTCTTCCAACTCTAGGATTCTATGATTCTACATGGCTGCTTCTTTGAAAACTGCCTGGGAGTAAGTACCACTGAATTCAATAGATCTTGCCTCTCCGTAGATATACAAAAGATTGCACTATTAATATATGTGTAAAAGAAAGCTGATTCAGACATGAACTGAAGATGGCACAACAGAACTAAATGAACTGCCTTTTCCTATCACTCTTCTACTTGTTCTACACATGGGAGCCAGCATTTCAAAATCTTGGCTGTCACTTATACTTTAACCTATAGGAAATGTGTAAAAACTCGTCAAATTTAATTGGGATCGAGGAGAGGTGTGGATTATAAAGGAGACAGATGGAGATCGTGCAATTAACCTCCTTAGCCCTCAAAAATCCACATTTCAGAGATGCACAAACACTTAAATAAATGAGCCCGGGTGCTTTTGTAGACTAGGAGTCATTGCCTGATTTCTTTTTAAAATAGAAAACATTAACTGTATGTAAACTGAAACACACACATTCCCATGAGAGTTTTATAAACTGACAGACTGGTCTGCTGTCGAAAATAACACATGTACTGTAATTACTTTAGCATGCATAATGCTCCTCAATCGAAGAAAGACATTAAGAATATATTGGGTTGTTGTAAATTTTCTGGGCGGTATGGCCATGTTCCAGAAGCATTCTCTCCTGATGTTTTGCCTGCATCTATGGCAGGCATCCTCAGAGGTTGCGAGGTCTGCTGGAAACTAGGAAAATGGGGTTTATATATCTGTAGAATGTCCAGGGTGAGAGAAAGAACTCTTGTCTGTTGGAGGTAGGTGTGAATGTTTCAATCGGCCACCTTGATTAGCATTTAATGGTCTAGCAGTTTTCAAGGTGTGGCTTCTTACTGACTTGGGGAATCCTTTGTTGAGGGGTGATTAGCCATCCCTTTGTTGAGACAGCTTTGTTGGGGGAATCCTTTGCTGAGATGTGACTTTAGCTCTAAAATCATAACAGTAAATTTATTTTATTTACCTTGTTTGGGTATCAGCCAGCACGTCAATGACTTAAATCAAGAAATAGTTTTCTTAGATCTACAGAGATACTCGCTGGAACACCTCAGCACTGTTTAGCTGGTATTGCACCACCTGACATCTGCCGGGAAGTGGCAACCAATAATGAAAGGACCAAGGCAGTGATATCTCCACCCTGTTTGGGTTTCAACCAGCATGTCAACAACTTAAATCAAGAAATAGTTTTCTAAGATCTACAGAGACACTCGCTGGAACACCGCAGCAAGCGAGAGTCCAAAAGTGGCAGGCTCAAAACCAGAACCTCAATCCTTGGGTGATACCAAATGAGAGACTCCCCCCTGGGCACACAGAAGACTGGGCGACTTGGAAGGCGCTGAACAGACTGCGCTCTGGCACCACGAGATGCAGAGCCAATCTTAAGAAATGGGGCTACAAAGTTGAATCCACGACATGCGAGTGTGGAGAAGAGCAAACCACTGACCACCTGCTGCAATGCAACCTGAGCCCTGCCACATGCACGATGGAGGACCTTCTTGCGGCAACACCAGAGGCACTCCAAGTGGCCAGATACTGGTCAAAGGACATTTAATCAGCTACCAAGTTTGCAAAATTTGTGTTGTTGTTTTTTTTTATCTGTTTGTTTTGTTCTGTTAGAAATGTAATACCATATTCTGGTTGCGGATGACACAGTAATAAAATAACAGTAAATAAAGAACAACATTCAAAAAGAGAGAAGAGAAATTTAAACCAGTGGGAAGTCTATGCACCATATAACTTCCTAGCTGTCACCATATTTAACTTTCAATACCCAAAAGATCATACAGAATCATAGAATCCTAGAGCTGGAAGAGACTCCAAGGACCTCCCTATTATTAATATCCCTCCTCTGAATTTACACCCTGCCATGCAAGAAAAGGCAGTCAAAGCAGATGGCCATCCAGTTTCTGCTTTAAAACCTCTAGAGGAGGAGACTGCATCACCCTATCTATATAAATAAAAATGTAATGTTAGTTTGTGGGATTAACATAACTCAAAAACCACTGGACAAACTGACACCAAATTTGGACACAGGACACCTATCAGGCCAACAAGTGACCATCACTCATAAAAACACTGAAAAACACAGCGGAAGGGACTTAAAAAGACAAAAAAAGCAAAAAGATATTACAGTGCATGCGCAAAACGACTCCCCCTGGCAAACAAAACACACAATAGCATATCCACACTCTCTTCCAGACTACATCTTCCAGCATCACCTAGAACAGGCCCTTTAGGAGAGGAGGACGATTCAAATGCACTACTTCTAAGCTGCAAGCTTGCTTCTCTTTGGATTTCTTTGAGAGCATCCCAATCCCTGGATATTTCCAATTTCCTATTCCTGGACTCCAACTCCCAGCAATCCTCCAGATAGATTAGATAGATAGATAGATAAATAGATAGATAGATAGATAGATAGATAGATAGATAGATAGATAGAGAGAGAGAGATCAGGAGGATTTCTGGGAGTTGCAGTCCAAGAATAGTTAGAGAAGGAAGAAAGGGGAGAAAGGGGAATCGAAATAAAAGTTGGGGGGTGGAGGAAGGGAAGAAGGAAGGAAGGAGAGAAAGAGATAAAGAGAGAGAGAGAGAGAGAGAAAGAAGGAGGGAGGGAGGGAGGGAGGGAGGAGGAAGGAAGGAAATAGGGAAGGAAGGAGAGAAAGAGGGAGGGAAAGTTGGCCACAGCAACGTGTGGCGAGTACAGCTATAGTCATTAATAACCCTCCTCTGAGTATATGACAGAAGTGACTGTCAATCACAGGTCTCAAATACGTTTTAGACAAACATGCTGATCTCTTGAAGTATTGGAATAATAATAATAATAATAATAATAATAATAATAATAATAATAATAATTCTTTATTTCTAGCCCACCCTGTCTCCCCAGAGGGACTCGGAGTGACTTACAACAAAATAAAACACAATGGCAAACATTCAATGCCGAGGATAACATATAACAAATCAAACACAATTATAAAAAAATTATAAAAAGCAATTTAAATAAGCAAGACAAAATATAATCCACACAATTACATCAGATTAAATCCTTAAAAACTCTCAGAATTTGACTTTAAGATATTGGAGTGAAGATGGTAAACAACAGATTATCTAAGGTAGATGTTCAACAGGTAGGCAAGAAGGTATATAAGGTGCCATTAGTCCTCCTCCTCCTCTCCGTAAAGTGTATAAATGTGTTTTTAAAAGCATTTTAAAGGAGAGAAGAGAGGGGGCCATTTTTAGTTCTTTAGGGAGTTCCATAGCAGGGAGCGATCACGAAGAAAGCCCTCTCTCTTGTTCCCACCAACCACTCTTGAGACAGATGGTGGGACTGAGAGGAGGACCTCCTCCACAGAGTACAGTTCTCAACCCTACCCAGCCAGAATGGCCTCCATAGGAGAACATCAGATACAATGTGCGTTGTAGTCAAACACATTTTAACGGCAGAAAGAGGAGGCTGTTCTTTAGAATGTATTTAAGCATCTAGTCAAAAAACACATGGGATAAGAAAAAGTACATATTGAGGAGGCTACTCTGCTTTCTCTGACTTCAGGTATTCAATTACTCCTGGAAGTGAGGACTAGGTTCACTAGAAACAGTTGAGTGCATTTCTCATTCTGAAATATCCAGCTTCAACCTCCCAAGGAAAATTAATTAGTTCTAGTTTAAAGCACTACCATATTCTTTAGTTATCTTCCATTCACAGAACTATTTTGCTGCATGGAAGACCGCAATAGATGTCACAAGGGCACATTTTAGTTTTATTTTTAAATTATGATTATCTAAAACAGATTACATTATGCTCATCATATAATGGTCTCAAGCTTGTCATTGAATTCCACACAACTCATTGAAACAGACTTTTTTCTTGGAAAGAGAAAAAAGAACATTTAGAATAAATATGTATGTGTGCAATTAGGTGGGCTTTTTCATTTTTGAGGCTGTTTGGAGCCAGGCCAATGCCCCATCTTCAGAAGAAAATCCTCTCCTGTTGTATTCCTGCCAAGGAAACAAGCTCCTGCTTTGTGACAAGGGACAGAGTAGTTATTACACAGTAATACTCTGCCCTTATTTGTCAATTGAATCGCTGTCCCTTCAATGGGAAAAGAAAGCACAAGGGGTTTTCAAGAAGGAAAAAGATAGGAGAAAAATAAACTTTTTCTGACTCTAGGATCTGGTATAAAAGAAGGAGATAAATGTTTGGCTTTATGCCACAAGTGCTATCCAATGGATGCAAAGTTTTGTAAAAACAATTTGGCTTTAGCAGGGCTCAGATCCTTGTGCAAGTCACCTTTATTCATTAAACTGACCATCCTGTTACCAGCAGTGAATTTGCAAAACCCCAAAGGCTGGACTTGAAAGCTACAGACGCCCTCCACATTTGTCTGTAGCACCTGAGATTGTGAAATGCCGTATTCTACATATTTTGCCTACATTGCTGTGCGTGAGAAATGGAGGAGACATAGCTCAATGGCAAAGCACCTCATTAGATATTATAATTATATATTTTATATTACATGTAATATTACTAATAATATTACAATATAATGGTATTGTACAATATAGTAATATATAATACTGATATTGTACTATGCTAGTAATATAATATATTGTATGTGTATGTGTGTGTGTGTGTATATATATATATATATATATATATATATATATATATATATATATAAGCCGGTCTGAGTCCCCTTCGGGGTGAGAAGGATGCCATATAAATGTCGTGAATAAATAAATAGCACACAAAGGTCCCATGTCAGGTAGGAAAAGCACTTTGAAATTTGCACTGCCAGTCAGTTTCAACAGTGGTTTAAATAGAGTAATGATCTGTCTTTAAATGGTAAAGTTTCCTCCGACATTAAGTCTAATTTCTGAGGCCTTTCCTGTGTCTAAAATTGTATGACCAGCTGAAAACATGCCACTTCTACCTTCCGTACACCTTGGGTGGCATCTGCAGGCATTTCTGGAGGACGCTAGGTGGGTTCAAAAATAGCTCAATGGGACACATGCAGGCCACAGACAATTTTTCCCACCTCTGATATCAAGGAAGTCAATTATAAGAGCTATAGCTTAGAATGCTTGTTTCCAACCTTTGGTCCTCTAGGTGTTTTGGATTCAACTTCCAGAATTCTTAACAGATGGACAACCTGACTGGGGCTTCTGGGAGGGGAGGGATGGGGCCTGTCTTATTTCCCTAAGAAGGGTGTTCCAGAGGCGAGGGGCCACCACCGAGAAGGCCCTCTCTCTCATCCCCACCAACCATACTTGTGATAGGAACGAAAGGAGGGCCTCCCCAGAAGATCTTAAGAGTTCGTGCTGGTTCATAGAAGGAGATGCGATCACGAAGATAGGCAGGGCCCGAACCATTTAGGGCTTTATAGGCCATAACCTGCACCTTGAATTTTGCTCGGCAACTTATCGGCAGCCAATGAAGCTGTTTTAATAGGAGCGTTGTATGCTCCCTATGTGTGAGCCTCCTAGCTCTTGCACCTTCACCCACTTCACACACTTACTCCTCAGAGCTGCAAGACCTGCTCTGGGGAGCAGGAATGCAGGTAGAGGTGTGACTATTACGCAATCAATTCTTAAATATCCTAACTGGGAACCAAGAAAGGGGGGTGCAATGGCGACTATTATGCTATGAAATACAGTAAATTCAATAAATATGCGAACTTTATTGCTGGTTTTACAAAAAATCTAGTCAAAACCCTTTATCTCCAGGTATAGCATAATTTCTTTTCCTCCAGAACTTACAACTCTGGCAACCATAAAGTAGAGTCAATGATGTTTTAGAGGGAATTATTTCCTTAACGTTATCCCTGCAGTGCCAACCTATGTATTCAACACACAGACCAGGAATTATCTGACACTGCAGACAATGCATATCACTTCAGCTCAGTAAAACACAGTTGTAGTCATGTCCTTTCGTACTCTCCCTGCTTTGTCAACAGCAGCAGGCAACTAACCGCCTCACTATGCTGTTTTACAGCAATTCACAACAGCTGTACTTATAAACCTTATACTAAAAGTTAGTATTTGAACAATGGTTACCTTTCACATGCCAAAACTGAGTCTCACCTTCCGTACTTGCAATTGTCCTTCTGATTCCGTTTCAGACTTCCTTTGCAGGATTATCAGAACAGCTACAGCCAAACTGAAAGACATATAAAATATAAAGTTAATCAAGGCACAATGTTAATCTTTCATGGTTTGCTCACACATACAAAAAAAAATACAGATATGCATGGCGAACTAGTGCTCATGTAGCAGACAAAGTTAATGAGTAGTCATTTCATATCCCTGAGTGCATCCTGTTTCGTGACATCTTAATGCTACTACAAACATTTCCATCAAATCACTGATACGCAGATATTAAGGAACTTTCTCCCAGAAATAAAAGATGAATTCAAACATTTGAATTGCTTTCATTCTGTGGGATCACAACATATTATCCTAACTCATTTTTTCCATATCTGCCTGGATTTCACTATTATATACAACAGGAGTGATAGCAGATGGTCTACTGTGACAGCAGAGGGTCTACAGCAGTGGTTTCCAACCTTGGTTAAATCCTTGTGCCAGCTGCATTACTGACTGAAAGGTCAGCAGTTCGAATCTGGGGAGCAGGGTGAGCTCCCATCTGTTAACTCCAGCTTCCCATACAGGGACATGACCGAAGCCTCCCACAGGATGGTAAAACATCCAGGCATACCCTGGGCAATATCCTTGCAGACGGGCAGTTCTATCACGCCAGAAGTGGCTTGCAGTTTCTCAAGTAGGTTTTGACACACACAAAAAAAACCCCAACCTTTGTTTTGGACTTCAACTCCCAGAAATCTCAGCCAGCTTATCAGCTGCTAGGAATTGTGGGAGCTGAAGTCCAAAACACCTGGAGGACCAAAAGTTGGGAACCACTGGTCTATAGGGATGGATTAATACATTTCTATAGAGCCAGCATGGCCTACTGAGTATCTGAATGAAACTACAGAACACAGTTCAAACCCCTTCTCAGCCATGAAAACCCACTGGGTGACACTAGACAAGTTACATACTTTTAGCCTTAGACAACTCTAGGATAGTTTCCCTTTATGATTGCCATAAGTCAGAAATGACCAGAAGACACACAACGACAAACTAGACCTCTCGGTGATCCTTACTACATCAGCAAGAGTTCTTTTTTTTCCTAGTATTTAACAATAGCAAGCAAAATACCAAATTAAAAAATGTCCAACCCTACTTCAATTGCTCCTCTTTCAGCCTCAGTGTTCCTCACGTAAAACAGGAGCATCAGATGATTTTCCAATCTTTCTACAGCCGTGCTGACTAGCTGCAGAGCCTTGCATAGTAGTCACTGATCCACAGGAACTCAGTTGCAGATTTTTAGTGGTATACCCATGCCGTGCCAAATTAATGGTTCAAGAATTGCAGTAAGTCATTGGCTATACCACATGAGCAATCACGTTCCATCTGATTCCTATTAACGCAGTGTTTCTTAATCTTCCTAATGCCATGACCCCTTAATACCGTTTTTCATGTTGTGGTGATCCCAACCATAAAATTATTTTCATCGCTACATTATAACTGTAATTTTGCTACTGTTAAGAATCATAATGTAAATATTATTATTTATTATTTATTTATTTCACAGTTTTCTATACCGAGCTTCTCAACCTCATTGAGGGACTCAGCCCAGTTTCCAGCCATAAAAAAACATATACACTCATTAAAATATCATATATCACAATTACAAAAACAACTTTAAAAACACTATATATAAAACTACAGTGGTCAGTCGTCCTATTAAGATGGATCTACATCAACTTCCATCCAGGGTCCTATGGTGTTGTCTCATTCATCGAAGGCCTGACTCCACAGCCACGTCTTCACCCGTTTCCTAAATGTTAGGATGGATGGGGCGGTTCTGGCCTCCAGAGGGAGAGAGTTCCAGAGTCGCGGGGCCACCACCGAGAAGGCCCTGTCCCTCGTCCCCACCAGGCGCGTTTGCGAGGCCGGTGGGACCGAGAGCAGGGCCTCTCCAGATGATCTTAATAATCTTGATGGTTCGTAGCGGAGAATACGTTCGGAGAGGTAAACAGGAGCGGAGCTTTATAGGTCAACACCAGCACAGAATTGTGCTCGGAATATTCTGATATGCAGAATGTATTTTCAATTACTGGACAAAATTTAGCACAAATACCCAATACATCCAAATCTGAATAATGGTGGGGTTGGGGGAAAATTGATATTGTCATTTGGGAGTTGTAGTTGCTGGGATTTATAGTTCACCTACAATCAAAGAGCATTTGAACTCCACCAATGATGGAACTGAACCAAACTTGGCACACAGAACTCCCATGACCCACAGAAAATATTGGAAGGGTTTGGTGGGCATTGACCTTGAGTTTGGGAGTTGTAGTTCACCTACATCCAGAGAGCACTGTGGACTAAGTTATAGATCTGGACCAAACTTGGTTCAATATTCAACATATCCAAATGTGAACACTGCTGGAGTTTGGGGTAAAAGACCTTGACATTTGGGAGTTGTCGTTGCTGGAATGTATAGTTCACCTACAATCAAAGCACATTTTGAACCCCACCGATAGATTTGGGTCAAACTTCCCAAACAGAACTGCCATGATCAACAGAAAATACAGAAAATGCTTTTCTGATGGTCTTTGACAACCCCTCTTACACCCCCTCATGACACCCCCCCCCCCCCCCCCCCCGGAGTCCCGACCCCCAGGTTGAGAAATGCTGCTATTAACGGATCTCAACAAAATGGAAAAGAAAAATGTGGAACTTTTAAAAATTGGTTGCTCCACATATAGAAGGTTTAAAGGGCCAGGTGTCAGAATGAAAACTGATTACAATGGGCACCTTAGAATCTGTCAGGAATTGTATCCAGGGCTATCCAAAATGCTCACATCTCTATTAAATCTGGGGTAGGGCAGCAGCAAAGGAGCTTGACAGCAGTCCTCTTCTGCCTTTGAGCAGTTTCCATGCATGAGTGATCACTGCTCTCCATATCCCCAAGGAAGCAAAAAACGAGCTCAGACTTGCCAGGGACATTAAAAACAATAAAAAGGGCTTCTATTCTTATGTCAGTAGAAAAAGGAAAAACAAGGAGGCGATAGGACCTCTTCGCGGAGAAGATGGGGCAATGCTGACAGGGGATAGGGAAAAGGCAGAACTACTTAATGCCTTCTTTGCCTCGGTCTTCTCACAAAAAGAGAGTCTTCAACCTCAGCAAGATGGAGTGGATGAGGGATTGGAGGACATCCAACCCCAAATTGGGAAAGAAGTCGTCCAGGAATACCTGGCCGCTCTTAATGAGATCAAGTCCCCAGGGCCAGATCAACTACACCCCAGAGTATTGAAGGAACTAGCGGAAGTCATTTCGGAACCATTGGCAACCATCTTTGAGAGTTCTTGGAGAACGGGAGAAGTTCCAGCAGATTGGAGGAGGGCCAATGTGGTCCCAATCTTCAAGAAGGGAAAAAAGGATGACCCAAACAACTACCGTCCGGTCAGCCTCACGTCGATACCGGCAAGATTCTGGAAAAGATTGTTAAGATTGTTAAGGAAGCGGTCTGCAAACACTTAGAAACAAATGCAGTCATCGCTAATAGTCAACATGGATTTATCAAAAACAAGTCATGCCAGACTAATCTGATCTCTTTCTTCGATAGAGCTACAAGCTGGGTAGATGCGGGGAATGCCGTGGATGTAGCGTACCTGGATTTCAGTAAGGCCTTCGACAAGGTCCCCCATGACCTTCTGGCAAGGAAACTAGTCCAATGTGGGCTAGGCAAAACTACGGTGAGGTGGATCTGTAATTGGTTAAGTGGACGAACACAGAGAGTGCTCACTAATGCTTCCTCTTCATCTTGGAAAGAAGTGACAAGTGGAGTGCTGCAGGGTTCCGTCCTGGGCCCGGTCCTGTTCAACATCTTTATTAACGACTTAGATGAAGGGCTAGAAGGCATGATCATCAAGTTTGCAGACGACACCAAATTGGGAGGGATAGCCAATAGTCCAGAGGACAGGAGCAGAATCAAAACGATCTTGACAGATTAGAGAGATGGGCCCAAACTAACAAAATGAAGTTCAACAGTGACAAATGCAAGATACTCCACTTTGGCAGGAAAAAATGAAATGCAAAGATACAGAATGGGTGACGCCTGGCTCGAGAGCAGTACGTGAAAAAGATCTTGGAGTCCTCGTGGACAACAAGTTAAACATGAGCCAACAATGTGATGTGGCGGCAAAAAAAGCCAATGGGATTTTGGCCTGCATCAATAGGAGCATAGTGTCTAGATCTAAGGAAGTAATACTACCCCTCTATTCTGCTTCGGTTAGACCACATCTGGAATATTGTGTCCAATTCTGGGCACCACAATTCAAGAGAGATATTGACAAGCTGGAATGTGTCCAGAGGAGGGCGACTAAAATGATCAAGGGTCTGGAGAACAAGCCCTATGAGGAGGGGCTTAGGAACTGGGCATGTTTAGCCTGAAGAAGAGAAGGCTGAGAGGAGATATGATAGCCATGTATAAATATGTGAGAGGAAGCCACAGGGAGGAGGGAGCAAGCTTGTTTTCTGCTTCCTGGAGACTAGGACGCGGAACAATGGCTTCAAACTATAAGAGAGGAGATTCCATCTGAACATGAGGAAGAACTTCCTGACTGTGAGAGCTGTTCAGCAGTGGAACTCTCTGCCCCGGAGTGTGGTGGAGGCTCCTTCTTTGGAAGCTTTTAAAGCAGAGGCTGGATGGCCATTTGTCAGGGGTGCTTTGAATGCAATATTCCTGCTTCTTGGCAGGGGGTTGGACTGGATGGCCCATGAGGTCTCTTCCAACTCTTTGATTCTATGATTCTAAGTTGATGGCTGCCCTGTAACTGGATGCCCTTGCATGGGGATCACAAATGAACGAGCAGGACTCCTGCCACCAGCAATGGTATGGCAGATTCCCCTAGGACAGTGGTTCCCAACCCAAGGGTCTTCTGTGGGGTCACCAGGCAGTGGTGAGTTATGAAAATTTTAAAAGGAGAAAACAAAAAATCACATCATCCAAATGTCACCATGCTTTCATTTTGAGTTTTAACCCATTTGTTTCTACATATCTCTGCAAGAGTATATTTTCAACACTTCTT